ATCTCATTTCTCTTTAAACTCTGTTCTAGTTCTAGCCTTCAGAGCCTCCTGCAGCAAGGAGTTCCACAGATTGACTATTTGCTTTGTGAAGAATAACTTTTTGTTATTAGTTTGAAGCCTGCTACCCATTCCTTTCCTTTGGTGTCCTCTAGCCCTTCTATTATGGGAACTTATGAAGAACTTTTCTGTATGCACCCTCTCTACCCCACTCGTGCTTTTATAGACCTCTATCATATCCCACCTCCATCTCCTCTTTTCTAAGCTGAAAAGTCCCAGTCTCTTTAGCCTCTCTTCATATGGGACCTGTTCCAAACCGCTCATCATTGTAGTTGCCCTCCCCTCTCCCACCCTCTCTCTTCCCCTCTCCCACCTCCTTTTCCCAGTCTCCCCCAGTTTTGTTCAATAAAGAGAGATTCTATTTTTGAACACAATTGTCCTTTATTTTGTACATCAGGAAGGGGGGGCTAGCCATGATTCCTCCAGCCCTAATCTTCTTCTTCTCTATGCCCACAACATGGCACACTACCTGCTTTTTGACCCTCTCAAAGACTGGCACCTGTGTGAAGAGCAGATGATATAAGCAGTGTAGGGCCAGGGAAGAACTGGGACTAAAAGGGGACAGCGGTGCCCAGAAACTGAGGGGAAGCAGGCATGCGCAGCATGAGGCTCTCTGCTACCTTTTCTGGTGTGGCTGGGAGCACCACTTCACTGATCCTAGAAAGGTGAAAGGGGGCTAGTGGAAGTTTATTTATTGATTTATAAAGCACGAGGCTTGGTACCTTTACAAATAGTAAACAAACAGGTTAAGATTTTTAAAATAAGGTGTCTCAATTTAAGCTCCCAAGTTGAGAGTTGTTCATTTTTTCTAAACAAGAATTCTGAGTGATTAATATATTAATCCTGATGGTTCTCAGGTTTAAAATAGACATAGAGATTCCTTTCTCCTATGGAAATGATCCAGATGCACCTTAAATAAAAATAAAGCACAGGAAAGAAAAGACCGGACATGCCTATAGATGTTTCAGATTTTTTTTTCTTTTTCTTTTCAAACTTGTTCCTGTGTCAATGTCCTGTACCCAATTACAAACTGCTTTTTGCTTCATTTTGTTTCCTTCTTTGTCTTAAGCCATCTTTCTCTCTCTTGCTCATTCTCCTGATACACTGCACATGTACTCCAAAAAAATGCAAAACACATGCAAACAATGAGTTAGTTTAATTTGCATACAGTAAATGTCACATTTACAGCAGGTTTGCACTTCAGTATTAAAAATGGTGTGTGCTTAAGTTTATTACCAGAAAAATTCGTAGCATAACAGCAGTCTCTGAGTTGCAATACTAAGTAGATGCTTTAGCTAATTTCCTAGCTTCTTGCTCCTGCTTAGCCTTCTTGCGCATCTCTTTTTCTCTCTCCATCAGAAGGGCTTGCTCCTGCTCCCATTCTTTTAGCTTCTGCTCATGTTTTGCAATGTCTTCTACTTCACATGCAGGCAGTTTTTCCTTGACAAGCTGGGTGGTCAGGGTCAACAGGCTTTCAGATTCAACTTTGTCAAGCGAATGCAGTTTAGAATACAGATTCTGTCATTAAAAAAGGGTTTAAAAAATCCAGTCAGACACAAAATGTCCACATGATTTCCTGAAAAAAATGACTGTTTTTATTTAACTGTTGATTGTGCCATGCTTAGGGTACAATTTAACTTATACGTTTATCTTCGCAAAGTGATTTCGCTATATTAACTGTCCGTTTTTGCCATTCTTCCGAAACACACAACTTCTAAATTAGCTTTCATTTGGCATTAAACAAGCTCAGATAATCAATTTTTAATTCCAGTAAATACTGGAGTTGACCTAACTCGTAAAACTAAAGCGAAATACCATAAATACAAATCTTAAATATCAAATGATAGATGACCGGTCCACTAAGACAAATGTAAACTGAAACACCTGACTGGTGTTTTTAAGCCAAGGCTGATGTAAGAATTTGCCTTGGATTGCCTCTATTAGCATCTCTTTCAACAGATGCAAATCATTTAAATAGTCTCTTAATAATGGCATACAAAATTGCTCCCATGAGTCCTTGCAGCCATTGTGAAACATTACATTTCACTACAGATGTTTGCCAACTAATGTGATCTGAAGCTCAGCTATTCTTGCAATAGTTCTTGCCTTAGCACTGTTAATTCAGAGATGGACTCTACGCTTGCTTACACCAGTGGAGTTAACAGCAGAACTTGGTGAGGAAGCCAGGTAGTATTTTTTTCTTGAGCTTTCTCATATATTGGCTGTACAGTATTTCTTGCGGCGTACCCAAGAGAAGCACAAAAATATTCATTTGCTTAAGTGCTTCAAGATTTAGATAATTCAGAGGGGTCATTTATGGCTTTCTGGAAGCTTAAGGAACAGTGTGATACTGCATCATTAAAGCAGAAAATGTCATTGTCAGTGCAGCCTTCCAGAGAATAGGGGAGGGAGGCTTTCTGGAGAAGGAAGATGACATGGCATCAAGCAGCTAAAAAATAATGAAGTAAATGTTCGCCCTTTGCTCTTCCTTCAGAAAGGATCCCATTTTCTCATGCTGTAGGAAAATAAGTACAATTTTAATATCTATTTCATGGAGTTGAACCTCTATTAGGAAATTCATGAAATAGTTGTGTACCCTGAAGAGGAGACACTGTTTCTGCGATGCCCCCTTGCACAAAGGCTGGAGGAGGTGGAGGCTGGGGTGTGAATATGGGTGGGTGTGTTTCACTCCCAAACAAGAAGGCAGATAAGAGCACCTAGGCAGCTGAGCTAAGGCGCCTGTTGCATGCTGAAGGCAACTTCCCAAGCAGTACTGTGTGCTACACTGTTTGCAGACCCACTGACCACATTCCTCCTCCTCTCTCTGCTCAAATATCTTTCCCCCCTCACTTCCTGCAGGGAAAGTTGCCATGGAGCTCAGCTCTGAAGTGCACAGAAGATTGCAGTGTTCCTTTAGCAGCCTCTGCTCTTCCTAGACTGCCTGACCGCAAGGGATGCTGGGGGTGGGGGAGCAGGCGGGGTTGAACACTACATACTGGACTGATGGAAGGTTTTACTAATCAGTTGAGCTAGTGGCTTCAGTAAAACTCTAATATGACAAAAGATCAACAATTGCTTGGAAGTCACCAGACTATGCAAATACATGATCACATCTGAACATATGGGGCTCTTGTTTGTAATATTGTTAGTAAATATAACTGGAATGTCAGTGAGAAATGTGTCCATGCTGCCAAACTAGCTATCTTTTTGTTTTTAAATATAACTGCTAAAAATCACTCCAAAACTCTTCCTACTGCATATCCAGGGAGAGTGGAGTGCAGAGAAATGAGGAGATGGACAGCTGCATGCCAAAACGTTAAACAAAAAGAAAGGCAAAAGAATGAGGCACTAGATGATCTTCCATCACCTAAAACAACGGAACTCTTGGACTCTCCGGAAATACTTTAGTACATAAAGGAAACTCATTTAGGAAAATGGCAGGCTGTAAATGCCAGAAGGCATTTGTAAATAGATAAATAATTGATTCTTAAAACAGTTCCCCTGGGCTCTGCATACAGACAGTCCAAAAAGGAACACTGCTTTTAGACAGAATGGTTTGTGTATGGCTGGGTGCCTCGCATAAGCTGTCTGTATTGCCTTTATGTAATGAAAGCCCCGCCCACTGATCATTTGAACAGCTGGAAAGAGTTACTGGAGAAAAGTTGTACTGAACTGTAGGCCTCAGTATGGTATCTGAAAAGGTGTAATTACTACAAAGACAACAATGTGATATACAGTCTAAATCACAGCAATAAGTGATTGATCCTGGAAGGTAGTGAGTGTCCTTTACTCCCAGTCCGTTTAGTAGAGATGAGGCACTCAGCCCCTCTATGGATCCACTCGGCCAAACATCTTCCTTGTTAGCCAGTCTGAAAAGGATTATTTATGCAGTTTCCAAAAACAGCCCCTTTGAATACCAACCACAGAAAGGAATCCAAAACCATGTGTGAAAATACCAGGTAGTGCAAGTCCAAGTATGAAACAGTCCAAGTAATTACTTGAAATAAACATGGAAGAAAAATGCAGCACACAGACACCATTATCATCAGCTACACCCTTCTATAAAGAGTATGAACAATAAAACTAATGAATTTCAGCTGGAAAAACACAAGCCAATATCATCAGAGAAAAAGGAGAAACTCTACACCAGTGGTCTCCAGCCTTTTTCACCACAAGATCAATTTTTCAATTTAAGTGCAATGTAAAAGCTCCCTCAAACCCAAATACCCTTCTCCCACTTCCTTCCTGCCCCTTCTTTGAGGCTTTGCCCCTGCTCCACCCCTTTTCTGAGGCCTCACCCTGCTACTCCATACTCCTTCCTTCCCCCATCTTCACTCACTTTCACCAGGCTGTGGTTGGGGTGCAGGCTCTGGTCTTGGGCCAATAAGTTTGGAGTATGGGAGGGGCTCCAGGCTTGGTCCAGGAGGGGTTTCAGGATGCAAGCTCTGGGAAGGAGTTCTGGTGCAGTGGGACTCATGTCTGGGGCAGAAAGCAGGCTCTGGCTGGGCACCATTTAACTGAGATGGCTTCTGGGTGGTGGCTTACTCCTTGTCCTGGCCCTGCACCACTCCTGAAAGCAGCTGGCGTGTACAGCAATGGCTCCATGTTGCCATGTGTTGCCCTTCAACCAGAGGCAGTGAGCCCATGGCTTCTACTGGCCACAGTTCCCAGTTATCGATCAATGGAAACTGCAGGAGCGGTTTCTGCAGGCAAGGACAGCATGTGGAAACCCCCTGCTCTGCATATCTCAGGGGTTGCAGGGACATGCCAGCCACTTCCAAGAGCAGCAATTACCACAGAGAAAATTGCTCCAGCCACAGCAGGTTAGGCATTTTAGAACTCACTACTCAAAGAATTGAATTTAAGCGTAAGAGAGAAATGAAAATTATGAAATGCACAGACCAGTCAAAACCCAATATAAAACACTTTGCAAAATAGTAAAAGTAGTAACAACAACCTCCTCCCCCCACGTACGTGTTGGGTCAGGAGAGGAGAAGAAACAACAGCTGGTGTTTGTGAGAATGACAGACACACACAGTGTGTGAGTGACAGAGATCTGCATTGCCAAGCACCCTCAATCCCCTTCTCTCTGTGTGGAGATAGGGTACAGAAGTGGGAGGAGGAGGGACACCCTGACATCAGTACCCCCCCTTCTCCCTCCCGCACTCTGCAGAGCAAGTAGGAGGCTCTCAGGGGGCAGCTCCAAGGCAGAGGCCAGGAGCAGCATGACAGTGGGTGGAGGGGCAACTGAAGTGCCAGCGCTTGATAGCTTCCTGGCCAAACCAGTCAGGATCACCTGTCAGAGGCTCCAAGAACTACCAGTAGATCCTGATCTACTGGTTGGTGACCACTGCTCTACAAAGTCTGAGTATTATTAAGGCAGGGCTTTGCCCAGACATTGCCAGACTGAGGGCAACCTGACAGAATCCTAATGTCTGCAATACATTTACATAGGTTTTCATACACTAAAAAAAATACACACGGCCATAATATGTGCATATGGATTTTCACTGCAGACGCTAGTCTTATAATTTGTATTGTGCACATTTGTTGTCTTTAAACTACTACTAAAAGGAGTGTGTGGGGGAAGATAACTTCCCTGATTGAAGTTAGAGGCTATAACAGTCATATTTAATGACAACAAACTGAATGGGCAACAAATACTGGACAATGTCAGACCAACGGCATTTGTTTTAACAAGCAAGCACCCACATATGGTCAAATAATAGATCTGTAATGACACACCATTTTTGCTAACAGGATTTGGATTTATCAGTCTGACATATGAAAAGAGGAGATAAAATCCCAGCAGACAGACAAAATAGACAAGTGGCCTTGAGCATCTGTTTCTTTGAAGGCAATTTCCTGTTTGAGCAATAAAAATGTAATTCAGTGTCAATTTTAAAAATGCCAGGTAGCATTACTGATGCAAGTGGGGGTACCAGTCCCGCAGCATAAAAGGAAAACATATTTACTTACTGCTATCTATAGCGGAAATCAACTATAACTTGGTAAAAATTATAAGAAAGAAAATCTTACCTTAAATTGGGTAAGGTATACAGGCAGTTTAGACTGCTCTGTTTCTTCAGATTCTGTTTGTTTTGGCTTTCCCTCAACTTCTTCTGATGGCTCTGGATCAGTTTTTACCTCAGGGACAGACTGCAAAATGGTCTCAAGAACATCAATCTGAACAAGAAATCAGAACTGTTATGTAGTTTGCAAACACAATCTAACATATCATGAAGGTGTTCTAAATATAAGAATGACATTGATTCTGAGATGGCTGTACTGTAAGAAGCAATTCCACAAGGAACATGACTCATTGTTTCAGGAATTAATGCTATTTAATATGTTTGGGAGTGTTAATGTTGGGCTCTTCAGAAGTGTTGAAACTCTGTTCCCATTCAATACAATGGTAAACCTGCCACTGACTTCATTAGGGGCAGAGTTAAGCCAATGCTGAGTCCTTCTAAAAAAATCCCACCCCTTTACTACTCTAATTTCTGGTTATAAAAATGTCATGGTGAAAACTGTACAGACATAATCTACAACAGCATTTATATACTGGGACCTATTTTGGAATGCTTCTGTAATATAATTTTCAAGAGGACATCTTGCTTCATCTTTGGCTAAAGTGCATTGAGTACTCTTGATCTGTTTAACTGGTAGAAAATATCTTTAATTCAGCAATTTGATAATTTCATATTAGGACCTGAAAGAAAACACATGATCACATAGCATCCAGAGTACAGACTTTGTTTTAAAAAGGGATAGAGAATAAGACAGAGAATATCTTATTGCCTTTATATAATCCATGGTACGCCCACATCTTGAATACAGCATACAGATGTGGTCTCCTCATCTCAAAAAAGATATACTGGAATTAGAAAAGGTTCAGAGAAGAGCAACCAAAAAAGTAAGGGGTTTGGAACTGGTCCCATATGAGGAAAGATTAAAGAGACTAGGACTTTTCAGCTTGGAAAAGAGGAGACTAAGGGGGGGTATGATAGAGGTATGTAAAGTCATAAGTGGTGTGGAGAAAGTGAATAAGGAAAAGTAATTTACTTGTTCCCATAATACAAAAACTAGGGGCCACTAATGGGCAGCAGCAGGTTTAAAACAAATAAAAGGAAGTTCTTCTTCATACAGCACATAGTCAATCTGTGGAACTCCTTCCCTAAGGACGTTATGAAGGCTAGAACTATAACAGGGTTTAAAAGAGAACTAGATAATTTCATGGAGGTTAAGTCCATTAATGGCAATTAGCCAGTATGGGTAAGGAATGGTGTCCCTAGCTTCTGTTTGTCAGAGGGTGGAGATGAATGGCAGGAGAGAGATCACTTGATCAGTACCTGTTCAGTTAATTCCCTCTGGGACAGCTGGCATTGGCCACTGTCGGCAGACAGGGTACTGGGCTGGATGGACCTTTGGTCTGACCCAGTATGGCCATTCTTATGTTCTTACACGAGATCCTTATTCTCTTTGTATTGCTTTCAGCTAGATGTACTTTGGCTCTTTGAGAAAACTGATCCATTTCTTAATCTAACTGGAGCAGAACCAAAAGGAATACTTTAACAATATGCATAAACAATTTTTATGTATGATCAGTGCAAAGGAAGGTACTGATATCTTGATGCTGTTGAGGTACTTGGGGAAAATTTCAGTTTTTAAATGACTAAAGTTAAAATTCTATCTAGTCTGATTTTTTTCAGATTCAACTGCTACATATGCAAAGAGCTGTTATCCTGTGAATCCTAATTTTGCATGTATAGCAGTAGGATGAAATGGCTTTATAAATAGCCACTGAACATTCTAAGCATCTGATACTTTCCACAAAGCAAACGTTATCTTGATGCCTGCAATTTGTTTATTTTTAAAGATCACTTTCCTACTGTCTGCATTTGTAATGAACCAATGTTGTTTTTGGAGACTGTAATCTAATGGGACCACAAACCAGCTTGAAATTCCCTATAATGAAACATCAAGATGAGATAAATGGCAAGAACAAAAAAGCATGCTTAGAAACATGTATACTCTCATTTGTGGAATTCCTCAGAGTATCCAGAGATTGGGTAAGAGCATGTATCTTTTTATGTGTGCAGCAGCTGTTAAATAATAATTAAAGTATTTATAATGATAACAAAAAGGACACTGAGTTCTTAGGAGAAAGAAAGATCAGAAAGGAAACAAAGGAATAGCTAGTCAAAGATTAATGGAAGCTTTAAACCTCAGTAGGAAATTAAATTTCATCCAGAAATATAATTTATGCCATCATGTGCCTAAAGTATCTGTCTGCTATGTATACTGGACAAACTTCTCAGACACTTCGCCAAAGAATCAATGTACATAAAACAGACATCAGGCTCTCTCACAGAGAGAAAACTGTTGCTTGCCATTTTAGCCAGACTGACCATTCTCTCAATGACCTTAAAACATGCATATTGCTTCAAAGAGATTTAACTCCAGATTTCAAAGGGAAGCCTCAGAACTGTCATTCATGCTTAAATTTGACACTTTACGTATGGGTCTTAACAAAAATGCTAATTATCTCACCCATTACAAAGATAGCTTCCCCAATTATCACCCCAATGTCATTACCTCACAGACACTAACCTTCCCCCCTCACCCCTTCTCTGTTCTAAAATCTGATTTGTCAATTCTATATGTGTTCACTTTTTTTTGATTGTATCACTTTGGTATATATGGCCGTGTCTATTTTCTTCCACATATTAATCTGAGGAAGTGGGTCTGGCCCATGAAAGCTCATCACCTAATAAACCATCTTGTTAGTCTTTAAAGTGCTGCATAGTCCTGTCTTTTGTTTCAGTAAGCAGTGGAAGTGTTGGTAATGCTGCTAGACAATATTCACCTCCTGTAGTTCGGCAAATTCTCTGGTTCAGCACCAGTCAGGTACTGAGAGTGTCAGACTAGAGAGGTTCAACCTGTACTAAGTGGGATCACAGAAGTGTGGGTAAATTTAGTGGCTTTGATATGGCCCCTATTTATTCACTTCCCCAAACCATTCTACAGTTCATGTAATTCAGCTACAGAAGTCATCAAATGAAATTAATAGTAGCAGGTTTAAAACAAACAAAATGAATTTTTTTTTCACACAGAGCACAGTCAACCTGTGGAACTCCTTGCTCGTGGATATTGTGAAGGCCCCAGGACTTCAACAGAGTTCAAAAAAGAACTAGATACATTCATAGAGGTTAGGTCGATCAATACTTATTAGCCAGAATGGGTAGAAATGGTGTCCCTAGCCTCTGTTTGTCAGGGTCTGGAAACGGATGACAGGAGAGGGATCACTTTATTATTCTATTTCTATTCACTCCCTCTGGGCATCTAACATTGGCCACTGTTGGAAGACAGGATACTGGGCTGGATGGACCTTTGGTCTGACCTAGTATGACTGTTCTTGTGCATGTCTGACAGTCTCAAAAGAGCCCCAAAGCTGTGAGAAAGACGGTCTTACTGTACTTTATTCAGCTTCCAGTGGACTCACGTGAAGATATGCTACAGTGGGTCAATGCTATTTTTTCTCTCTCTTAAAAACACTATATTCACTCTGATAACATCATTAAAAACATCTCAAAGGAGCTATCTCTTAAATGAACCTTTACATGGAGATGGTTATATCCTTTGCCAGTGTAAGTCAGCATAGATCATCTGGGTCTAGATATGGACCAACATTTTGATGTATAATGACAGGTTTACAATAACGATTTGAGAATAAGTCACTTTGTGACATTAAACCCACTGGACCAGTTTACGAGCTCAGATTTGGTGCAATTCCTATAACTTTAATGAGATCAATTCTGATCTTACCCTGGTAACTGAGAGCAGTATTACTCCTCAGCAGAAATGAAGTTTCTTGGTGCCAAATATACATACCTCATAGGCTGCACTAGTTCAGCCCTTGAGGATACTAGCTGTCTTTCTACAGACGAGTGCCTCTGATTGTGGCTGTGGGGACCAATCCGCATCTATTTTAATTTTTGCTACTCTCTGACCAAAACAAGTTACAATTTAGATTTGATAAAACTTTCTGAAGCAGCAGTTTCAGAAATAGTTAAAGATACTTCTACTCAGCGATGTAAGCCCAGGGTTAGCAGAACTCTAGTTAGCATACTTTTGGGTTTTGGCCTGTAGTTGCTCAAGCCCTACACACACAGAATCCCGGATTAGGAACTGCTAAACTCTGGGTCCAACATCTACATTAGTCATGCCTCAGTTCAGCCTCTCAAACTTCCGACCACCCTCCCAAAATGAAGCTGCTCTAGTCCTTTGTTCGTAGTACAGCATGGGAAAATTTGACTGTCCTCCAAGGCTGACTGTCCAGAGGACACCCATTTAGCTTGTGAGATTCTGAAATATTTTTGGAGGACTCCCTTCACATGAATCCACTGGAGGTGCATCTACAATGCAAAGCAATAGGGCTTGAACTCTGGATACCACCAGCTTGACTCAGGCTCATGGACTCTTGGCCCCTGGGTTAGTGTGATTTGTCTGTACAGGGCAGGAGGGTTAGGCTTGAGCCTGAGTTTAAACCCTGGGCCTCTAGTGTAATGTAGACATATCCTAAGTCACTTAAGCGCTTTTGAAATTTTTAGCAAACACCCTGATGGTTCACTCATTAAAATCTGTACAAAGAGGGCCACTTCAGGCCCATGATCATTATTTCACATTCAGATGAATGAAATAAAATTTTAGAACACAAAAGATCAGATCTAAAGTTCTATAAACAGAAACAAAAGCTGGTTTCAGGGTTGTGGCACCAGGGGCCACAGTGTTGTTGTCCAAAGCAGTCTGAATGGCTGCTTATTTACTGTGTGCTTATAAATCTACACCTACCAGGCTTCATCCTTAAGGCTTAAAAAATCCAAACCAAATGCATGCACTGCAAGACCATGTGCTCTATGGTGTTTGTTGGTTTTTTATATTTCTTATGACTCAGATCGGTGGTGTCTAAACTGTGGCCAAAGAGCCATCTGTGGTCCTGGGGGCTGAGAGTTATGTCCCTAAATGAGCATTTGATTAGGAATTGGAAATGCATCCCATGAGCTGTACCCTCCAATTTCTAAAAATAGCCTAAAATTGAGGCCCACCTCCCCAGCTGCCTCCCTCTGCAGCCCCAGCTGCTGCTCTGCGGTGAGCCTGTGGAGTGCTTTGAAAAGCTGCTCAGCAACTCCCCTGCGGGCCTCCTGCGACATGGGAGGGACAAGAAAAGAGGTGCTCTGCTTGCCACCTGCCTGTTCCCCTGTAAGGCTGTGAGAGTCGCAAGAGCAAGACAAGAGCTTAGCTGCCTGAGCCTAGAGTAACTCTTAGCTAAGGGAAGTTTCCCTCCCTGCAGACAACCATCCAGGGGAGGGTATAAAAAGAATAAGCTGAGAACCAACAACCAGCTAAGGATTCCTTGATTCCCTGCCCCAGCCCAGGCTGCTCTGATTTTCACCAGCTGCCAATGTCCCCCTGAGTCCACTGGAAATAGACTGAATGATGCACCACCAACTCATTCCCCTTCCAGTCTCCTGAGTCGTGGGCTGTGGGAAGGGAGGGAAAGGATTAGGCTCTGCTGGCTCTGTGCCTGTTGTAGATACTCTTGCAGCAGGGGAATCCTCAGCAGATGGCTTGGGACTAGAGCAGAGAACGCTCTGTAACCAATGATTATGGTCCCATGACATTGTACTATGTCTGGCTCTCATGCTGGAAAGGTAGCGCACCACTGAACACACATTGCTTGTTGTCAAGGATTCACCAGAGACCTGTGGTTAGTCAGCTTTATCACCCACTTTGCAGTTACCAAGACAGGGAGCCCATGGGTCACACTTCGGGATTCCATGGGCTGTACGTGACCCTCAAGGCCATGCACTGTGCCCAACTCTTCCATGCTAAATGGTTTTGAACACTTACAGCTTCTTTGCAGATCTTTACATCCCCTGGGAGCGAGGCCACACTGTCCATCACTTGCAAAGCTCTGTTCAGGTATCCCGGTGTCCACATGAGTGGCATTTGGTGGTACACAGCTCGCAGTCCTTTGTTCAACTCCACTTTTCCTGTTGCATAATAATATTAAGGGTTAAATCTTTATTGTTTGAGCCCTGAGACAAGGAACAACAAAAAGCTGCACTAAAAAAATGAAAGCAATTCTCATAGTCAGGAGAGCCGACAGCCATGTTGGGCCCCCAGGCAAGGTGGAAGGGACACTCTGTGCTCCTGGAATGGGCAGGGCCTTGGGCACTATGCTGGGTCCCCTCCCTGCTCCTTAAAGCCATCCAGAGTACGCCGCCCGGCGCTCTGGTGTGATTGAAAGGGCCTGGGTCTCCAGGTGCCACTGCTGCTGTAATAGCACCAACTGGGAGCCCTGGGCCCTTTAGAATTGCCAGGCCCTGGTAGCAATTGCCCTCTTTGCCCCATCTTCCCATTGGCGGGTCTACTGGTGGTGTCTAAGGAAACAACAACTTGCTCTTCTCTAGGGCATGGGCGGTGGGTGAATCATGGGCTTGGGAAGGCTAGCCCCTGGCCTGGCCCATCCTTCCGCATGCCTTCCATCCCCCTATCCCTGCCAAATCCCAGAGGTCCCCTCTCCCACTCCAGCCACGGAGCTCCAGGCAGCACATGACTCACCTGCCCCAAAGCACCAAGTGGGCAGCCTCCCTCTAGCACAGAGCGCCAGGCAGCATGGCCCCAGCACACCCAGTCCTGGAGTGCTGGGCAATGGCACCCCAGCACCTGTCCCTGCCTCCATCACTGGGCAGCCCCAAGTCCCAGCCACCCTCTAGTCGCAGTCCTAGCAGACTTACTGGAAGAGGAGCAACCTGCCTGGGCTGGAGTCTACAGGGGTGAAACATGGGTGAGATCTGTGTGGGTCTGTGGGAGGAGGCACAGCCTTCTCCAGCCTACAATACATGCCAGTCAAGCTCCAGAGCCTTACAAACATTTACTAATTTGGCTTTTCCAGACCTCAAATGAGCTAGGAAAGGATGTCAGCAGCACTGGAGATCTGGCCCATTTGCCAAGAGTTAACACGTCCTAAAACATGGAACCCCTGTTCTACATACAGAGAAATGAAGATTACAGCATGGTAACATATTGGTAAATGCTGATTTTCTGGTAACCAGTCTAAGCTCTTGACAGTGACCATAGTAACTGACAATATACTTTTGTTATATTCTTTTGATCCAGCCTTGCCTACCTTACTGGAATTCATATAACCTTTAAGTTTCCAACTCAATTAGAATGATGGCTCTGACAATGCAAGCTATTAAAACACACCTTATTTTTCTTAAATGGAGAAGGATGTTTTAGGAAAAGCACAGTAACAAATGCACAGACAAAGCTTACTAGACTATGGCTAAATTTAAATTGCTAAAGTGCTCCAGGCCAGTCTATGCCCAGAGACATCTTTCACTCTTGCATAGGTCTGTTCCGTTAGCATTGGCAAGATTGTAGAATATGTGACATTGCAGTAAATAGCTTTTGATCCACTGAATGTCAATGTCATGGGATGAGAACTATTGCTCACAGGCAAAACTAAAGTACTTTTTCGAAACAGAACTGCTTTCCAGCCAATCTATATGGCATAATAAATCTGAATGGCAACCAAGCAACAAAAATCTACCTGTCCCAATATCTCAAAGGGATGATAAACCAACAGTCCCACGAAAAACTTGCTTTCAAATTTACTTACAACTTGTATCTCTCTTTTGAGTGTGCAATTTTGTCTTACAGTCAGGTTAAATCAAAATCAACATCCTTACTCTGCCACTACACATCTTATTTTGAAGTTACATTTTCAAAACATGTCTAGTTGTTTTTACTTTTGATAGATTTCTAAAATAACCTACTACAGTGATGGAGCTGCTAAAATAGGCATTTACCCAGAGATAAATGGAGTTTTGCAGTGGTGAAGAAAGAAAATTACTGAGCATTTTATAGTCTCCTGTGAAACACGGGAATTATGAAAATTAAAAGAAGTGATTATGTGAAATTTTAAGAAAATTCAGATATAACACTATTTAAATAATGCTGTCTAACACACCGCACCTAGTGCTACTTGCATACATGCAGCATATTGGTATGCTGGGGAAAACACACCTCCAATATCAGCTCCCTCAATATGGAAACACTGATGTGCCAATGAAAGGTAAACATTTAAAGGAATACCTCCTCTTATTCCATGATAGTGGGGCAACTTGAAGGAGAAGCCCACAGGGAAGGGAAGGTGTGAAAAATAAATGACAGGCACAATTTTCAAAGTTAAACCTGATTCTCTGTTCTTAGTTCACATCATCAAGACCTCTCTACACTGACTAACATAAACTGAACATGGATTGTAAATCACCCATATTTAGTTTTTTTCTTATAAAAACTTTTGCTTTATTTAAGCTTTATTCTATTGCCTATAAATGATGATGACATTTTAATATACAAAATAAATAATTTAATGGGACTATTTTAATGAAATCACTGGAGGAAAAAAATATGGGTATGCAAAGAACTTAAAAACTTACCAAGAAACGTATAGCCATACAGCTGGGAGCTAAAACCTACTGTGTTTGTCTGTTTCAGGCCTGTAAGCAGAAGAGAGGCTCCAAGATTTCTCTCCTCTTCCCACTGTAAATAATTCAAACCAGGTAAGTCTTGCTTGCATAAAACATTAACTTACAATCACAACAACCAGCATGTGTTTGCCTTATATTGTACAACATGGGACTTAAAAAATCCGTAAATAGGTCCATAATAATGGAAATGACTCCTATCAGAAATTGAAAGTTACAGTCTTAGCTTGCATTTCAGTTAATTTGTATTTTGGAATAGAGTAAACAAATTCAGTAGGCCAGATCCTTAATTGGTACAGGTTGAACCTCTATAGTCTGGCACCCTCAGGACCTGATTGGTGAACCAGAGAATTTGCTGAACTTCCACTGCTTACTGGGCTCTTCGAAGACACTCAGGGCTAAATTAGAGCTAAATAACAGCACAGAACACTGAGAGCCAGGACCGGTGGCTGTAAACAAACTTTACTGAACCACAGGAAACATGGCCATACCCATGATAAATGGACATCCAGCTAACTAAATTCATGCCAGACCAAGGATGTTCCTGGACGAGAGAATGACAGACTAGAGAGGTTCAACTTGTATAATTCAGCATAACTCCACTGAAATCAGTGGAGCTATCTTCATTTAGCAGTTCAAAGATCTGAACCTGTGTTCTGAAATTCATAATATTCAGGGTAATGTTAACTAACACTACTGGTCAAGTTAGCAGTGCCCTGGGACTCACTTGAGACATGGCTATGCTCCTAGGAACAAGCATTGCATGAGCTTCCCTAAAGAATCAGGCCACCCGTGAGGTTAGGAGAGCGGGGCCAAATTGGTAAGTATACTAAAACCATACATGAGTGCTTTGACTTTGGAAAACATACATTATTCTTCTTTGCAGAAAAAAACAAAGAAACAGACTTAAAGAATTTTGGGAAAGAAGATGAACAGTTGTCAGACATAAACTGTGTTCAATTTGCTTCAGTTGTCTCTAAAAATACTTAATTGCTTAACGCAATCAATATTTACACGAGGAAGGAACATAAGCCACAATAGAAAAAGAACAGGCTAGAGAATATTTAGATAATTTAGACGTATTCAAGTCAGCAGGGCCTGATTAAATTCATCCTAGAATATGTAAAGAACTAGCTGATGCAATCTCGCATCATTAGCAATTATCTTTGAGAACTCACGGAGGATGGCTGAGGTCACAGAAGACTGGAAAAAGGCAAACACAGTAGCTATATTTAAAAAAAGAGGAACAAAAAGGACCTAAGAAATTATAGGCCACTCAGCCTAATTTTGATCCTGGAACAAATTATTAAACAATAAATTTGTAAGCACTTAGGCTGTGTCTACATTGGCACAATCTTGCGCCAAAGCGGCCGCTTTTGCACAAAAATATGCTGCCTGTCTACCCTGGCGGGGAGTTCTTGAGCACGAACACTGACGTTCTAATGTGTGAAATCAGTGCTTCTTGTGCAAGAACTATGATGCTCCCGCTCAGGAATAAGCCCTCTTGCGCAACTGTTCTTGCGCAAGAGGCCAGTGTAGACAGGCAACATGAATTTCTTGCGCAAGAAAGCCAGATGGCTAAAATGGCCATCGGAGCTTTCTTGCGCAACAGAGCGTCTACATTGGCACGGATGCTCTTACGCAAAAGCACATCTCTTGCGCAAAGGCACATGCCAGTGTAGACATTCTCTTGCGCAAATACTTTAATGCAAGAACTCTTGCGTTAAAGAGTATTTGCACAAGATCATGCCAATGTAGATGTAGTACAAGAGTATAATCGGGTAATAAGCAATAACCAACATGTGTCTGTCAGGAACAAATCAAGCGAAGCCAACCTACTATCCTTTTTTTAACAGGGTTACTGGCTTAGTGGGATGGGAATGAAAAAGTAGATGTGAAATATCTTGATGTCAGTGAAAGTTTTGACAGTCCCTCATGGTATACTTAAAAGCAAATTAAGTAAATGTGATCTAAATGAAATTATTATAAAGTGAGTACACAACTTGGTTGAAAAATTAGTTATCAATGGTTTGCTGTTAAACTAAGGGCAAGGGTCGTCCCACATGGGTCTGTCCTGAGTCTGGTATATTGAATAGTTCATTAATACTTGAATGAAGGAGAGCATGCCAATATATTTTGACACCAATATGAGGGCCGTTGCAAGTGCTCTGGAGTATAAAATTAGAATTGAAAATGATCTTCATAAATTAGTTTGGTCTTAAATCAACAAAATGAAACTCAATAAAGACAAGTGCAAAGTGCTTCACTCAGAAAGGAAAAATCAAATGCACATCTACAAAATGGTGAATAAATTGGCTGGACTGTAGTACTACAGAATAGGATCTGGGAGTTGGGTGTGACAATGGATCACAAATTAAAGGTGAGACAATCTGATGCGGCTGCAAAAAAGGCTAATATAATTCTTGAATATAGTAGTGTGACAATTTTATAATTGTCTCACTCTATTCAGCATGGACGAAGCCTCAGCTGGACTACAATGTCAAGCTTTGGGCACCTCACTTTAGGAAAGATACGGACAAACTAGAAAAAGTCCAGAGGAAAGCTGCAAAACATTATAGAAGTTTTAGAAAACTTGACCTCTGAGGAAATGTTGATAAAAACGAGGCATGTTTTTAGTATTGAGAAAAGAAGACTGAGTGGGGCAGGAGCACGACCGGATACCAGTCTTCAAAGATGTTAAAAGCTGTTATTAAAAGGACAGTGATTGACTATTCTACATGTTCCCTGGTGGTAGGTCAGGAAGTAATGAGCTTAGTCTACTGCAAGTGAATTTTAGGTTAGATATTAGAAAAAACTTTCTAACAATAAGGAAAGTTCATTACTGGAATGGGCTTCCAAGGGAGGCTGTAGAATCCTCATCATTGAAGGATTTCAAGCACAGGTTCAAAAAACTATCAGGGACAGTCTAGGTATACTTGGTCCTGCCTCAATATGTGAGAAGTTGGACTAGCTGACCTCTCAAGGTCTGTTTTAATCCTACATTTTTATGATTTCTATGAACACAAAAGAGAATAGGGAAAGCGTAGATGGCTACACGATTAACCGATAAACCCAGGATTATCGGTTAATCCTGTTGACTACACCCATTCCCCTCCTCCTTGTTGCCTCTGCATCAGCAGAAACCAGTGACTTTTAAGCTGGCTTCCCATGTGCACTGGATAGAGAGGCAGCAGCACAGAGGGTAAGGAGGTGCAGGAAGGAGCCGGTGCTCGGTGGGGAGCCTACTTAAAAGTCATGAGCACCATCTCTGCCTCCTCCGCCAGCCATGCCCGCCAGCCCACGGAATTTGCATATTCTCTTTCAAAAATACTACATGGTCTAGACATAGCGTAAAAAGAGATTGAAAGTAAAAGTCAGTGAGTTGAAGAGACTCTAAACTCTTCACTAACTCTGTTATATTGCACTGCACTCCAGTATCTTTGTCCCCGCTTTGAAATAATATTATAGAAATTAATATCCTCAGGCGGGGGAAAAAAACGAGCCAAGAGACTCCTGAAGTATATGCACTTTCAACAGCAAAGGGATTCAGCATTCCGAATTAACAAGCCATTTAGGGGCACATTTTCAAGCCCTGGCATTTGTGTGTGTATATTCTATCACCAGATGGTGTCTGAATATGCATATCAAACACATATCATATCGACTAGCACTTGTGGTCATGGTAACAGTGCAAACGAGACATGTAGGTGATGAGCATATATCCAAATGGGATTTTTGTTCCCCTAGATTTTATGAACATCCAGTGCTTTTTTTGTGATGGTACTGCCCGGTATGCAGTACCAGCACCTCCAGACACAGTACCGGCCCCGCCAGTCAGAGCTCAACAACTTTTCCCCTGGAGTACCACCACCTTTTTTTTTTTTTAACACAAAAAAAGCACTGTGAACATCTATCATGCAATTAGGAAAGACAACACAAATGATTGATTTTTATGAATGAGAAGGAAAAAAGGAGACTAAGAGATTTGAACAGTTATCAGAAATGAAAACAATATGAAATGATTAGTAGGACGGTCAAGTGATTAAAAAATGTAATCGCGATTAACCGCGTGCACCTCCCCTTTGAAATGCCATGCCAGAGTTTCAACGGGGCAGCGCTGCATGGAGCCTGGGATCAGCTGGAGTTCTCTATGCAGCGCTGCCCCTTGGAAGCGCCGGAGCATCACTTCAAAAGGGCAGCGCAAGCAGAGTCGGGGATCAGCTGGAGTTCCCAGCTGATCCCCAGTTCCTAATGCACTGCCCCTTTAAAGAGCCAAAATGGTTTAAACGCCAAAAAATTAAACGCCTGCGATTAATGCGTTAATTTTTTTAACGCGTTAATCCAGTTCTGTGTTAATCGCAGGCATTAATGCAGGTCAATTGACAGCCCTAATTCTTAGCCAATTGATTAAAACCTTATGATACTTGAAGTTTGTTTAATATGTTACTGAATGTGTTTCACGTAACAAAAATGGGGTCTTTGAGCACTTTTCTTATAGATTACAAAGTGCTATAGAAGATTTATGCCCATCAAGGTTAGGTGTAAGTTCCTGGCTGATATGCACAGAGGAACCATTGCTGATTACTATCTGGGCTCTCTACAAAGACGGGGTGGTACCATGTTCCAGATTCGCCACCATTAGGCTGGCCTTGATAGTGTTGGGAATACAAAAGCAAACAAACAAAGACTGATTAGGGATAAGACACAAACGTAGTTTAAAAAAATTATATATCAAATCCAGTATTTCCAGAACCCAACACATGGCAGAAATCCTAGTGAGCAATCCCTGTGAGAAATCCTTCACAGCACAAGACTCTTACTACCATCACTGACACAAAACAACAACCCTAACTGTGGTATTTCCCATACTGTTTATCTAATAGATAGTAAGTGTATCTTTTTAAAGTTTTTCTTATTTGTACTTATAAAACTTTTCAAATTAATGGCTTTGGAGCCCAGTACTAATCAATCCTGTGATAGAAAGATAGGATGCCTAATCTGCAACATAAACTCTTCATTTTCATCTTCATTTAATCTCCTAAATTTCTAGAAATACACAGATTTTGCTTTTCCTATGCTGTTCCAATCAGTTGAAGCATTGGCACCACATCACTTCATTTTATAAGTGAACTTGAAGGGGCTTAAGCATCACATCCCCTCCCCAAGAATGCAGTAACCCTTTAATCAGAAGTACTGTAGATAGTTTTTATGTGCAACAAACTTTTTACCGTAAATTCTGATTTGGTTGCCAGGTATTGGTATAAGACATAGAGGGAGAGAAGCTGTGTTGAGAAATCATCAAAGCTTTCCTGAAGCATGATCTCAGAAACTACTGACATAGCATCTAGGTAAGAAAAGAAAACAACAGTTTGAAGATGGTTTAACAGAATTGTTTATATATTCTCTGGTTCTCCTTCCATTGGAAAGAAAGGTAAAACTCACAGTAAATACAATGGATGCAGAATCAGTCATAATGAAATAGGAGATAAAAATGGCCTATAGAACTAATATATTCCATTCATTATACTTTAAATCCTTGTCTACACTTCAATCTTATGTTGGTATAAGTGCGTCCCTTTGAGCTACTGCCTCTTGGGGAAGCGGAGAACCTGTGCTGACAGAAGGTCTCCTGTTGGCTGAGGAAGTGTCTTCACAAAGCCCTACTGTGGCTTTAAGACAGCTTTGCTCACCCCCCCTGTCACTGAAGAACTCCAAAGGGGGTTTTGTTTGCTCTCTCCACCAAAAGGATGGCCACTAAAACAAAAGGCCTTTGAGAGCAGGTGGTTTCTTCATAGGAAAAATAAATGTATAGAATGGGGAGGAATCAGACAGACACCCCAGCTCTGGGTACTACTATTAACAACTTCAGTAGCCACTTGGCACAATTCAAATCTAACAACTGGAGTCAAGACCTCCTGCAATTCTGTTTTCACTTGCAGTGGTTAAGTTCTTGCTCTGAGAAAGATTTAAGCCAACAAAAGCAAATCCAACAAAGCAAATTCAAAGGTTTAAGCCAACAAAAGCACCAAATAAAATAGCTGTGAAATTAAAATCTTATCTATCAGAAACTGAGACTTCATGATAACACTGTTTGCAATAAATATGCTATTAAACGAGTATTCTATCTTAGGTATCTAATTAATACTGCATATCCTCACCACACCACGCAGGACACCACTATAATAAAAACAGTATGTGTGTGTTCAAAAACATGGGGAAAGCGAAGCTAGACTGAAGAAGAGTTAAAGATGGTAGAAAGCTGATGAACCCTAAGTTTTTCAAAATTATGTAAAGACATTAAGGCTACGTCTACAATGGGCATTCTTGCGCAAGAAGATATGCAAATGAGCCGCGGCAATAAATATCGCTGCACCTCATTTGCATACCTAATGAGCCTTCATTTTGCGCAAAACCCCCCTCTTGCACAAGAGCCATTCTGCTTGCGCAAGAGTGGGTTTTTGTGCAAAATGGCGGCTCATTAAGTATGCAAATGAGGGGCAACGATATTCATTGCCACGGCTCATTTGCATATCTTCTTGCACAAGAATGCCCCATGTAGACGTAGCCTAAGGGAAACACAGGAACCAAATGTAATCACATGGGAACTTTGGGATGGGTGGAGATGTGTTAAACTCCAGAGGAAAATAAAGGGCTTTAAGAAAAGCAAATTTTGGATATAATTCACTATGAGACTATTTAAAATCCAATGTATCATAGTTATGAAAAGCGTAAAATTGATGACATAAGTGATATCTGGTTTCTTACCTTCATAATTTTCACTCTTTATAAAATAATCCAACAATATATTGAAGGTGAAATTATCTGGGAAAACGCCATATTGTACCTAAAAAGGAGAGAGAAAAACACATTGAAAAATATCTGGAGTATTTCATATTCTGAATTGCTAGAGTGATTAGAACACGAGAGAGGCATCTTGCATAATATTTATTTGTTTACATTTAAACAACAACAAAACCAAAATCTATAGTCCATGCTCTAAGTCTGCAAGAATGTATGCACCTGCATAACATTAAGGCATGTGAGTGTTTAGAATCAAAGCTCATGTGCTTATCTCTCTGATAACTAGGCTTCTAGGACATGACCTTTCCTCCAGTTATCAGGGACTTTCTTCAGGATTGAATAGAAAGAAACTATCTTCCCATATGCCAATATAGTGACCAGCACATTTAGAACACAACCACAGTCCATGTTGGGGCTGGAGGGAAAGACATCAAATGGGGAAACGTAAAAAAAAGCTGGGGAGAACTTTATATGACAGGAATTCAGAATAAGCTACACCTGAGTAATGCTCATGAAATTAAATCTTGCTTTTTCTCTTTAAAAACCTCACCTTGTTTTTTAATGTGTACAAGGCTTTATCCTGTGCACCATATTTGAAGCACTGTCTGATCCAGCTGTGGATGGTCCAGTCTCTCAGGTACCAGCAGTTTGGACTATGCCGAAATCTAAAGGATGAAACAAAACAGTCTTAAATGACAATTTCTTCCCAGAAGTCTCACAGATGCAAAGGGCATAATTTAAAAACACTCCACTATCTTCTCGCTCCACAAAAAATGTGTATCTTTTTATAGCTGCAGCAGCATGAAAACTCTTAGATGCCTTAAGCCCAACTTACTAATAGTAGAATAGTAAATATATGCAATTCTTTTATAAATTTCTCCTACCTACCAGAGTTTTGATAAGACAGGTACTATGAACCCCCATGATTTTAGCATTAGCAAGCAATGGCTGTCTGTCTGCTCATCAAAGAAAGGATACAGACAGTCCTTCCATATAATCTATACCCTAAGACAGGGGTCTCCAAACTGCGGCCCGGGGGCCGGATGCGGCCCGCGAGGGCCTCTCATCCGGCCCGTGGAGACCTTTTTGGATTCAAAGGCAGAAGAAGTGAGATTGTTTCAAAACCCATTTGAAGCAGATGTGGCCAGTTGCCCAGATGAACTGCAGCTGGAAGTCATTGAGTTGCAAGCAAATGACCTCCTTAGGGACAAGTTCAAAATAGGACTGGTGGGTTTTTACCAGTTTTTGCCCAAGGAAGACTTTCCTAATGTCAAAACTTTTGCATCAAGGTACCTTTCAATCTTTGGAACAACATACCTGTGTGAACAAACATTTTCAAGAATGAAATACGTGAAGAACAATTTGAGAACAAACTTGTCCGATGATAATCTCAGGTCACTGTTGATGTTAGGGACAACAAATCTAAAGCCAGAAATGTCTGCTATTTTGGCATCCAGGAAACAATTTCACCATTCACACTAATACAGGTGTTCATGTGTAGTGTATGAATGTGTTATTAAATAATAACTGAATAAAATAATATTAAATACATAATTAAAAACAACATCCATGTTTTGATTGTTCTTTATTTGGACCTCAAGTGTGTAGTCGGCCCCCGAACTGCTGTTTGATAGTTAATGCGGCCCTCGGGCTGAAAAGTTTGGAGACCCCTGTTCTAGAGGACTATAACTTTATCATGTTATGAAGGGGACAAAAAAGAACTGAAAAAGGTTAGGTAATATTTAAATTGGGTTCATATAATTTGACCTCTTGTATAACCTACAGAACCTCCCACAAATAATTCCTAGAGCATATCTTTTAGAAAAACATCCAATCTTGACTTAAAAATTGTCAGTGATGGAGAATCCACCACAACCCTGCATAAGGTGTTCCAATGTACTCTAACCATTACATTTTTGTCTTATTTCCAATCAGAAAATATTTTTGAGAAGCATGGGCCTGATTTACATATTCCATTTCACATACCCCGAGTACCTCAATTGCTATCAGTATCATTACCCTGTTTTACACCAGCAGTCTGATTAGACTCGGACCCAAAGAAGTCTCTGAATAAAAATAAACATTAAATTTAACCAAGTTAATTAATTCTTTCTGTATTTACTTTTTGTAATAATCATAACTTCAAATGAATTTCCTCTGGGGAGAAAATCTCACAAACCACATTGCAACTCAAGCAGAGTCACCAAAGGAGGAGGGAAAGGGGACAGTTGCCCCAGGGCCTGGAGATTTAAAATGGCCTGGAGCTCTGGGCCCTTTAAATCGTTGCTGGAGCTCCATGTGGGATGATCCAAGCAATGCTGAGGGCTGGCTTGAGGAGGCATGGCATGATTCCAGCAGCACTGAGGGCTGGCTGCTGCTAGACCCGCCCCTTTTACCTGAGACCCTGCCCCTTCAGGAGTCTCTGGAGCCAAGCCCTCCTCCACACATTGCCTAGTGCCCAGTGACATCTGTTGCCAGCCCTGAACCCAAGGCAAATCTCTATTCCTCAATCATACTGGGGGGGCAGGGAGGTAGATGAAAGCAGGAATTACAATAAAAGTATTGAGGCAATCTTAAATGTTGATCAGGGTACCACATTTTAGGACTCAACTTATTTTCCAATGAAAGCTTACTCTACCCCATCTCCCTCCCCATTAAAAAAATGTAAAATCTGAAAATAGTATTTTGCACCATGGAACGAAAAACCTAGAACTCATGCTACAGCTTATATAGCACTGTAATTGATCTTCATTAACTTTGCTGCTGATGATCAATTTCACCAAGGGCATCAGCCTATAATGAACAGCTGAGGTTTGGGGATGATGCAGACCAAACTTCAAAGATCAATTGCTGGAAGGTTCGTCCTTATTCACTCAAATAGGGCTCACAAGTTGCTTGAAAATTTAATGACCAATACCTGCCAAGTCTTACAGTAGTTATAGTCTGTAAGGTAAATTAAAAGCCCCTGTGTTATAGTTATAGTCCTGCTCTTGGGCTGAATTTCATATCTAAGTGTCAAGAGATACCTGAAGCTTTTCACATTTTGCATCAAGAAAAGGTTTTATGCCTAAATTACAAAAGTTATAGTTCTTGCCACTTCCTGCAGAAAACTGTGATGGCAGAGTTGTACTAATGTGCAGATGTTAGCAGCCTGGAGCCTTGCTACACTATTTAGTTGCAGGACTGGCTCTTCCATCTGAATGAGCATGCTTTCCACAACATTTATCAGATTATTATAGCCACCAACCCTCTTCCCCCACCCTCCCCTGTGAATTCCCATGTATTGTATTCTATGGCTAAAAGCTACACAGATCACCGAGCTTGGAAAACAGGGAGAAAATGTTCAGGCCTACAGAATCTGCAGAGTTGCTAGCGACTGGACTGCCAAAAACAGTGGCTTTGAGACATAAACAGTTAAATAAGGTCTAATTATAGAGTTATATGGCAAATGGGAACACTCCTATTAAATTACAATTTAAAAGTAACCCCCCCACACACAATTTAAAACATATCAAATTATAACATCTGCTCTGTTGATCTACTTGCTTTTCCTCCCCTTTTTCCTCCCTCTTCACAACTCTGATATAGGGAAACAGTAGATCCTATATTTGCTTTAATGAAAGTCTTACTTCAACAATGCTTACAGGAAGCATCAATTACATACATTCAGATTTAATTATATCTTGATGAAACAATTATCCAATTGCTGAAGACTATTTAACTAGTAATTAAAAAGATGTCAGAATGAAATCTTGGGTATCCACTGCCAGCATCATTCAAAGTTACTTCATTTAACAGCTAACATCCCTTCTTAAGTGCACAACTAAAGTACTGCTCTACAAAGACATAACAGTAATACTTTCAGATACACTAAAAACTTCTCACTGACATCTATCTGGTCTTTAGTCTCTTTTCCCGTGAAGTGGCAGTAAAGAATTGAAAGGAGATTTAAAAACTGAAGTCTTTAATGGATCTGAACATTCATCTTTAAGCAAAGCTATGTTTCCTGTCTAAAACATACCAGTCACAGAGATGCCTCTATTATTTCTCCCTGCATTCTAGAAGCACTACAGCATATTGTGATGCTGAATTTGTTCTTGATTCAAAATAAAACTGAAAGTGAACAGTAAAGGACTATAACAAAAATGCTGGGTTGTCTAAAAATTGGAGTCAGCTTGAAATTAATCTCATTAATGAAAGATTCTGAAAATGACATGGCCATCAAAGTCTCTGGGGGGCACAAAATAAAGATGACAATGATGCTGGTGATTGTGAGTGGGATGGGTTTTTCTTTGTGGGTAACCAGCAACCAACCCACAGTGAAATCCACTGGGGTGCAATTATTATTTATTTGTATTACTGTGGCACATAAGTGCGTCAGTCATAGACCCCCCAGGACTATGTTGTGTTAGGTCCTAGACAAACACCGAACAAAGATTGTTCCTGCCCCCAAATAACTTACTCTCTCAGAAATAAACAATTCCTAAACAGCTGTGCATGGGAAGTGGAGGGAAGGATGCCAGATTTACTCGCTTGGTCTCAACATCAGCAAGACTACATATGTGTGTGAGCGTGCCACGCACATGCATGCATGCAGACCACTTTGCAGTGGCACATTTTCTGAAGGGATGGTGGGAGAGGAAGAAGGGAGTTAGTTATGAAAGGAAGATACCGTATTTTCCGGCGTATAGGGCGACTGGGCGTATAAGACGACCCCCTATCTTTTTAATTAAAAGATAGGGTTTCATCTTATACCCCAGCGCCCCTCCGCCTCCTTTGCTCCCGGTGTCCCTGGTCTGCTGGAGATGGTCCCCAGCAGACCAGAGGCGCCGGGAG